AAAAGCGCTCCACCACCGCAGCGCCGCATAGCACTGCTGCATGCTAACCTGGCCCCTGTTGAAAAGAGGTCAGCAGTGCACTGAGCCAGGTTCGTGAACAAAGACAGTTGTATAACACCGCACAATCTGGGCTCTGTTTATAAGGCTGCAGGCCTGGCTGAAATATTCGGGCATCAATGAAGGTCACCTAAAGATTACTCTGTGCGGCTATAAACGACTGTTGAATAGAATGATGAATTGTTGAAAGATTTTGAAAACGGAAAAAATGATAGTCATGCCGGCCCAGCATCCTCAACGTTGAAAAATGCCCCGGCATGAAGTGGTTTATATTCGGATGTAAAACACATGAAAAAGCAAAGGGAAAAATTAATATTTCTTGACAAAAATGCCATTCTGTTTCGAGGTGATTCCAGACCAGTGATGTACAGGTAGTCTAGACCTTCAAATTTATGGGCAAGACCTTTATAGCTAGACTTAGTAGCACACATGTATATGACGTTGAAAATATACATTAATCTCCCCTCTCACAAACACTGTGTACTCAGTTTTTTTTAAACACTGAATGAATGCAAATGCTGTTAAATGAAATAAATGAAAATTAAGTGAAGAAAATGCCAGTTTGTTGCAGAAACCAGCAACACAAACATATATGTTATATTATTTAAATTTAAGGGCACTACATGTGTACATGTATATACTATGGATTTACAGTCGGTAAGAATTCCATACTCGGCCACCAGTTATCTTCATTAACATGGCTTAAAAAGTACCAGAAGTCGTAAACCTAATGAAGAAACACTAATTTACGAGGGAGAAGTTTTCTTTTTTTTCAACAAATACCTACACGTAGGCTTTTTCTATCCTGGCCCTTAGACTTTGCTCAAGAGGTCTGATATGAAGCAGAATTCAGGTCAAAAAGAATGGAACACGTTTTTGCAAAACGGAATGTCTTTTTCAAAAGATGCAATGTGTGTTTTTGTAGATTTGAATGAATTTTTAAAGAGCAAATGAATTTGTACAGATGGAACATATTGTAGCGTGTCCCGCTGCACAGGGTTCGACGCTGTGAAGAACGACACTCAGGTGCAACTCACTGTTCTGGTCACAAAAATCTCTGCTTTATTCTGTCGCAATCTGGCAGCACCACAATGTGCTCTTCCGACAAGCTCTTCACAACATGGCGCCTGACGGCAGGGACTGCGCAGGCGCGAGGCGGGAAAACCGCGGGCTGTTCGCAGCCAGCTAGCTCCATGCGGGTCCGAGCTGGCGCCCCCACCAGCCGGACCCGCCAGCGCTACAATATTTTCATATTTTCTAGATTAGAATACATTTGTAAAGAGTGAATATGTTTTCAAAATTCGAATAAGATTTTATAAATCCAACATTTTCCCAAGATTGGAATGAATTCTTAAATTCCAAACATGTTTTTAAGATTGAAATAAAATTGTTGACTCCAAATATATTTTAAAAAATTTATTTTTCTCCAATGTAAAGCTGTCATTCGGTCCATGCATTTTACTCAAAATCTCATTTCATCCAAATTGAGAAAGCATCTAAAGTGAGAAAGCATCTGCATTTAAAAAGCATCCAATCTTTTTGACGGTGTTCAGCCCAAAGTTCCAAACCTTTTTGGACGAGTCAGCTATTTTCAGCATGCGTATGCACAGGCAAACTCCTACAGTGGTTCCCGCTACCTATACGGTCGTTGCTTTTGGGGCCTGCAGACTCGTCTCAGTGTTGAGTTCAAGTACGTATGTACCATTCGTTCTTTGCACGCTGCTGCCATGGATCTGGCAGATTTACACACTAAAAATAGCTGGTTCGGTAATTCACTTGTGTGTTGCTTAATAATTTTGGGTGTGCTGCATAGTGATTGGACAAAATTTCAAAAAGCTGCATTGAAACGATTGTACAAATTGCCACTTTGAGGCTCTGCATACCTGTTGCAGCAGCGTGCAAAGAGCAAATAGGACATTGCGAGAGTAATGTGATACTGTTCACCCCTTCCATTTAGTTTGTGTGTATACACTAAAATTGGCAAAGTCGCAGTCACTTTCTGTTGCTTGTTAAAATGGTGACGCCAGCAAGCAAACAATCATACCAAAATCCAGCTGCGGAGATCTTGCGCATTTTGTAAAAGTTTGCTGAATTTATTCCAGAGAAGTAAAATCAGGCTTAAGATTTCATTTTATGATACGTTTGTTGTTAATCACAAGTGACATTTGGGAGGAAATGGGTGAAAAATGTCTGAGTGCGTTACATTTCTGAACTTAAAAAAGGGTTTGTTAAACACGAAAATTTTAATTGTTCTCTAATTTTTTTTTACACATGCTGCATGTCTTCATTGAAAAAGTGTTTGAAAAAGGTTACCATGTTATGTTAGAGCTCTGGCAAATTGTCCTTTAATAGTTTGATCAATTTAAATTTTGACTTTCTGTCGATCAGTTGGCCATGATATGCACATGTGCATGTACATGTACTCCAACAACATGCACTAACTGCTGCATGTACGGACAAATGATTCTTGTGCAAAATATTCAATTTACTACCGATGTTTTTGTTGGGTACTAATACACATGCCACATTATTTCGTTTGTTTGGATAAACTTGAGAAGTTGTTTCACATGCAAAATAGGAAAGACGGTGCACATATTTTCTTTCAAATCTGATCGTGTTTATTTTTTTATCACTGTTTCAGAATTGTTTCAAATTTTGTGCAACTGGGTTCATTATAAGACAGTGGTTTAATGTTTCCAGATGACACGTTTTCGGTGAGCAGCCCCACATGCCGATTTGAATATGACCCCAATGCCGGTCCTTCCTCAAGTGCTCTAGATGCTGGATGGATCGCCTGGTAGCTGTGGCCATCACAACAAACACTCACAAAACTTATGAAATGGGCTGGAGGGCCTTTTGCTGTTATTGACAACAACATCTCTGTGTTAATGTAAATGGAGGAAAATTATGGAATTTTCAGAGAGATGGCAAGATATGAATATACGGTTGTACATACACATGTACATAGGCAGTGTACAATGTACATTGCATATTTTTGAAAATATGAAAACAGCCAAAAAGTATTTGCAGAATGATTAATAATTAAAAGGCCTACACTGTATGTACCAAATGACTTTACGCTTTGTTTACATGTGCCCGTTCTGAATGGAGCCGGGAGAGGATGACAGATTTAAAGTTCAACCATGGACCATTTTCCCAGGGATGTGCAACTTAAGCTCAGAGCTTGTTCAGTGCGTGTTACAGCTGGCACAATATCAAAGCAGAAATTAAATTGGATTATGTAACACTTTCTCATATAATAAAACATAATCCTGTGTACCACTTTGTTTTCGTGTAATGTTTTAAGTTAGGGTACAGCCTTTTCAAAAATTGCTGCTTAAGATATTTCACCCTATACATTCTGAGAAAAGTGCACCACAAAATTGGGGAATTTTGCCTCATTAAAACTTTGTTTCTCCTTGAAATCGATAAATGAAGAAGATTTATTTGTCAAAATGAATAGATTTAAGCACCGCATCGACGCGTCATCTCGGCATAACCACAGCTGCACTGTACATGTTGCATGCTGCAACCTGTGTCATGTGGTCGCAAGTTGAGAGCGCCTGCGGGGTAACAATCTGTAACAAGCATGGAACCAAAGTCGCACATGTGTTTGCACTGGGGCCACTCGCGGTTGCAGATCCCTGGGTAAATGGTCCGTGGTTCAACACAAACACTGTGTGTAAACAAAGCATGTCATCAGTCCGTACACGTACATGTAGGCCTATTGTAGGCAATAACGAATGACATAGGACATGTTTGCATGTAGTTTTGAGATTAGATAGAAATGTGCATTAATTTATATGAAAGTTGATTTAAGTCAAGGGCATTTCAGTTTATGTAAAAAAATCCCACAGTACTATTTTACTTGTAAATTTACCATACTGGTGTTGAACATGAAACTTTTACTTTTGCAGATTGGAGATGGAACCCCACAGAGCCAGAAGAGAGCTATACCAGAATACTGAAAATGTTTCTTGACCGAAAAGATTGTCCATATTCAATACAACAGATTGGTAAGCATGCTCTGTACAGGTAAATAAACAATGAACGTGTGTAGTTTCTTTGAAATTGATTGACATGTGTATGTACATCATGTAGATTGGTGCAAATGAGGTACATGTATATCCAGAGATAATAAATGTAGTGTACTGTACATCTTGGCTGAGCATTTTTTTTCAGTTGAATATTAGCTTACAGAATTTGAATAGCCTTTTTGATCAGTAATAAGAAAAGTGGAGGAGAATAGAATGCAAAGTTTCTGACGTGTTCAGAAAGAACAATTATTTGGTAACTGTTGAAATACCAAAGTGGTTATGAATGATATATGGCCAGATCTAGTTGTTTTAGGCTCTCAATATGGCATGTGGTTCCAGAAGACGGACTCTATTCCATGAATCTCACATCCCCTGTCCAATGATGGGGTATTTGTTGTTACTATAATAAACAGGGAAAGTCACTTTTTTGAGTGAGGTTGATGAAAACTTTTTTCTTCGACTATTGTCCGCGCAATAGTGCATGAAATCAGCACTCCCTGCATAAAACTAGTTCAGGAATTGTGTACAATATCTCAAAACACTTGAATTTGTGCACGTGTGTACACTCCCACTTGGTTTGGTGTGCTTTTAGCTAGGCTGCTAAAAATGAGGACGATTTAAGTAATCAAGTGAAACCACTGCATCATTGACACTTTCTACAAAGAAAGTTAGTTTGATTTGTTTGCTTCTCTGTCCAAGCATGTCACGAATGGTTGTCCAGTTAGAGTTCCTTGTGCAATGTTGCCATTATGGGGAGTTGCACTAACGGTGGCTTCCTGCATGGAGTTTGGGGGTACATGTATGCTCAGGACATGTTGTGGATTTGAAGGTGGGGCTTGTTGTGGAGATGACTCTGGAGTTTGTTGTGGAGTTGGAGTGGAGCATCCTGTGAGAAGGTGACTCTTTTCTTCACAGTTTCGATGTCCTGCAGATGTTTGCAGTTTCTGTGTACATGTAGGATGCTGCCATTTTGAGTTGTCACCAGGTAGGATGTTTGTTTGAGACACTTCTCCTGGATTAGAGCAAGCGTGCAGAGACCGTGATGCGGTCTTGCACTGGAGAGGCCTTACTTACTTTAGGCAGTTGCAGGTCATGTGAGTGCTGGTCACATATGTAATGAGCTTTCTGCTTCTCCTGTCAGTGTTGTAGTCGGTTCCAAATTTCACCCTGAATGGATTTACTGGTGCTTTCCTTCCATAGAGTAGCTCAGCACAGATGGGCTGGGGATAACATTGAGCAGCGGTCACACTGCAGCGAAAACAAGAGTGACAACGAAAATGAAATCGAAATATCGTTATGCCAGGTCACACTTCAATGACACAAAATGATTCCAGAAAGGACAAATCAATTTTCTCCAAATATTACCACAGCAACAAACAAGATGAAAAATGATGAGCAAGAAGCACACTTGATGCTTCTAATAAAAGAAAATGCACCAGATGTAAACGCCGCATGTAGGTGCATGAAATTGTAAAAAGAAAGGAGTTAAGGAGTTCAACACCCTTGTAAGAGAATTTTCCTCATATGAGGACAAGTTATTTGAATATTTTTGGATGTCTGAGATGCAGTTCAACATTCTTTTCAATCTTGTACACCATGACATCCATGAGACAACATAGCTACGGGCGCCTATTGGGGCGAAAGAGTGTCTCAGGTAAGAATTATTGACATGTTTATGTTTAGCATTTCTTTGTTGACCTTCATATTGCAGAAATTTGAAACCTTTAAAGCCACCTTTGCTTTTACAAGAGAACTCATTTAGTGTTTTTGTGTATTCCATTTCCTATAATTTTTTCTTGTTGCCGCCTTTGTTTTCTATTTCAATTTGCTCTTGCCGTATTGCCCTGTCCTTTCCCACCAGTGTTGCAGCAGTTTAACCCCCTTGTGTAGTACACCTGGTCCCTTGAGGGATTATTTCGTATTCACTTAATGGTAATATATGGTACATGATTTTTTTCACATGCATGAAAAAACATATCCATCCCTTTGAAAAAAGAAGCACAAACACACAAGAAGAAGCAAACTATTGCAAACAACTTCAAAGTGTCCTTTGAGTTTGCTGATGTATTATTTTTTCGTCCTAAATGATCTATTGAATAGCTGCAAAGAAATGAAATGAGGCAAACTACATGTAACTTATTCAATGCAGGAACATAAGGAACATGCACACATTCTTTCAACTTTGCACTAGTCTGTGGAAATACAACTGTTGCTTCACAGATGACATTATAGAGTTTCTCGTGAATATGGAGGTTGTCAACATTTAGTTTGTCAACATATGATGAATAAGTTAAAATCTTTTGAATCAATAAGATGTTTTTTAATACAAACTTGACAAAAATGTATTTCAAACTTTCAGTGCTATTATAAGTTGAATATGTAACTATCCATGAATCTGTAATCAAAGTTTTTCCAGTGAGTCCCAGTGAGTGCTTGCCGGGTGACGTTTGCTCGGAAACAGGGCCAGTCAACCCCCTCCAAGCGGATAACAGGTTCCACGGCTGGCTCGCCACGATCCGCCGCCTCAACTGCAGGCGAACCTGCACTACAACATGGCGCCCAGCCTCAAGGTTCATCGGACAATGTTGGCCGTTTTGGACTCCTACACTGCTGGGGCTTTTGACCTCTGCTCTGCCGATGGACTCCGGACATGAGTCTGCCGATCCCAACATGGGACGTTCCTGCCAGGGTACGCTCTACCACTTGGGGACTCCCCGCCCGGCCACATCTCCGTCCCGGCTTCCAGCTCCCCCTGCTCCGGCAAGGACTCAGAAGCGCAAGGCCAAAATGTCTTCTTCGGCCTCTTCTTTGCAAGATAGACTCCAAGCCTCAGCCGGCAGCAACGGAGCCTGACCTGGATCCCCTTGCGGCTGTTCCTCCTCCCTCGCAAGGGATGCGTTCGGAGGTGGAAGTGGCCTCAGTTCTCCAGCCAGATCGTTTTTTCCAGCGGGATCCGGCCCAGGATCGTGGAGACTCTGTCCGTCCGATGGTGCACTTGGGGCGTTCTCGCACTCTGAAGTTTTCTGGCGGTCTCCCTACGACCGGTGCCTACCGTGGGGGTCATGTATTCATTGATGTGGCTCACCAGTCTACACACTGGGGCAGTCCCACATCCCACACCTTCCGGGCCAACTACGACTACCCACTCCTTGAACTACAGCTGTCAGACAAACTTCACAACGATTCACTCAGGCTTGACTTGGAAGTTACAACGTCTCCCCATTTTTCCCTGGGGCAGCCCATTCAGAGGCGCCACCTAACTATGCGGGCTCTCCGCCGACCACTTTTCAGGCTACAGAACTGCATCATTGCCGCGGTTCTTGAACGCCACTCATCGCTGCGGCTTCTGCCTACCAGCTAGCACTATCCGACGAGGGTGCTTCCCGCACAGCGCCCGGCGGCTCAGCCCGCTTCGACCTGTAGGTGGGAAACAGAAATCTGCTCTCTAGGCACCTCTCCACCATTTTATGGAGCTGTATTGGTGAATAAAACGTGATACGATCAGCGTACCGTGTGTATTTTATTCTGACCATCGGTATTCTGTTCATAATGCCTGCGGTGGATGTCATTGCCCCACCTGCGGACCTATCAAGCCCCCTGATATCTGAAACTTCATTATCAGCAGCACTCAGACGTGTAAAATCAACCGTGATCTCCAGACAGGCTCCCCTCTATCTCTGACCTGTGATCACGCTATTCAATGCAGTATCCATGTCTCCGGCATCCTAATGCACCGAACTTTACATCGTCGTGAATTCTATACACTCCTTTCATCTATTAATTCCCGACTCTCCATATATTCTTTTGCTTGGCCTACCCATGCCCCACATTGCTTTTCAGACACGAGTTCTTCTGTAGTGGGCATTTCCAAAGTATATATACTGTGACTGTTATGAGATTGGACAAAAGTGCACTTACTATCTGCGCACAATTTTGTTTATGGGTTTGCTTTGGTTGTCTTTCTGACTGTGCCCTGCGTAATCGAAACAAAGGGTGGATTTGACAAACGTGTCAACTTCACCATTTACAATGTAGCTATTCGTACGCTCTGTTCCTGCAAGTAAATGGAAAGGTTATAAGGCTGATAGACGTTGGATGAAATAGGATATTTGGATACTTAAGTCATTGATTGATCTTCCATCTTTGGGCACTCCTTAACTGCAGCCTTTCTATTTTTTGCAATGCATGTGGAATAACCTTAATTCACCATGCACGTAATGATATGGTCATACATGTAGTCCTCCAACGTAAGGATACAAATGGCCACTTAGAACATAGTATAATGTAACAGGGTTTGTTACATGTATTCTTTTCTTATAATGAATACTTCAGCCTGGTTTAACATGTGAGTCAACCTTCCTACGTAATCACCTCTGGTAATGGAGCATCTTTTCGTACCTCTTGGTCCGGATGTAACTGTGATGATGGATGTGTCACTTTTTAGATGGGGAACCCCTCTTCCTGCACTCTGTGCCTCCAGGGTCTGGGAACACTGCCTCTTGGGACAAACACATCAATGTGTTGGAACTTCAAGTGATGTTAAATGCTCTTTGCCACTTTCGACAACACCTAGTAAGTTGTTCTGTTTGAGTCTAGAGCAACAACTCCACGGCAATGGCATACATCAATCATTAGGGCGGCACTTGCTTTCCCCAACTCTGCACCCTTGCATGGCAGTACTTCATGTGGACAAACGATCAAGGCATCACTCTCCAAGCCATCCACATCGCAGGAACCAGCAATGCCATGGCAGACGCACTCTCTTAGGGTGCCATCAGACCAACAGACTGGACTCTTCATCCAAACTTGGTCAGCCAGATCTCCCGGAGATCAAGCATCCTCATATAGCATCCACCGACAATGCCCATCTCCCGACGTTCTGCTCCAGGTTCTCTCACCCGCGGGCATGGGTGACAGATGCCCTACAGATTGACTGGTCGGGTCTTCTGGCATACACCTTTCCTCCGATCTCCCTCATC